CAGTCAATGCGTGTATTTATTTTCGTTGACTGTAATGTAGAGTGCGCATGCGCAGTGAAGCCAAGCGCAATGACCGCGACGCCGCAGACTGCGCGTCGTCTCTCATTGCGGCATCCGGCCCGAGCTCCCCGCAACTTTCAACGCGGCGGACGCGAGATGCACTTGCTCCGTCGTAATACAGAATGTTCACAACAATACGACCGAGAAACCCGAGAACACCAGCTAGGGCACTATGTCCATTGTTTTGTCGTAAACCGACAAGGAGGAGAAAGGATTAAGGATAATATCTACCGCAAATTATTCGTATACCCAGTTGGTACTTTGTTCCGGCTTGAAGTACCACTATAATTACGTACTTTAAGGGATTTGTTTTTAATCTTCGGAATCCCAAGGGGAGGACACACCTGTTTCATTACTTGAAGTTACGATTACTAGGGTACACTTATGGTAGATGAATTAATAGCTCGTTTCTCACACTAATGTTAAAAATATGTCTCATTTTTTATTTTTAATCAAGCGTTTTTAATCGAACAAAAGCTAATATAATGTTGTCTGTTGAACATCACTATATAGTACCTACGTGAGGGTAATATGGTCATCTAGTTATTTTAAGTAGAGTTTTCGAAGTCTTCCTAATTATTTCCAAAGCTTGTTTGCTAGTTTTTTTCTTAAGACACCGTGAAAAAATGCACCTCCTTTCATCGAATAGTATAGGACTATGACACCAGTAACGAAAGTGGGAATTTGATACAGGTAAATTCATGTCTTTATCTTGAATTTGATTGCTCAAAAACACGATTGTATAATTTTGACTCGATCATAATTATTTGCGAAAACACCTCTAAAAATCGCTATAGTTGAAATTACAACGAAATCATTTGATCTATATGCTTGGGAATCACTCAAATATATTCATAACATCAATATTCATAATTTACTTGCTCATTATTTTGATAACTTAATAATTTTTTAAAAAATATTTTAAGATTCTGACAATTTCTAAGCGCTTTTATTCGTCGCGGGCGCCACGCAATTTTAGATCTTATGACGGCATTTCTTCTAGTTTTTATAGAAATTATGTACTCACTCGGATCAGTACGGCGATAGCGTTTTCGATGTGTCGTCTTAATATATTAGTTATAGTATAAGACTTGTGTTTTTGTCTCTGTACTATCTAGTTTTGGTTTTATAGCGCGACAAAGCTTATGGTGACCATATTACCCTCATCATTATTACAGCCGTTCACAATTCCACTGCTGAACATAGGCCTCCGTATTATCTATATATCACCATATTACCTTCACGTACCTTAATTGTCTTTTAATGGACGTCTGACGTAGTCTTATCAATATACCCGAGTGGTTTTTAATATGAATTTATTTGAGATTATTATCAATAGCTATATTTCGCTTTAAAACGAATGATTCGCCGGGAACTAACTACCCCTTTGTACTGGCATATGTGTATAGTGCTGGTAATGCTGTTGCGTTTCGTATGGTGGGTGAGTGTAGAGATACGGAGACCCTTTTTACTGGAAACGAGGCATCTCATCTTAGTCCTTAGCGGTGACAGCGCATCTGCATTTCGATTCTTAATCGAGGATAGATGACTATGGGCCACAGCATCCTCTTACCTTCAAGTGTGCTATGTACTCGCTTGTCATCTTTATTATTCTATAAAAAAATTGCATTTTTCTTTTAATCGGGGGGGGGGATAAATGTAGGTGTCTATAGGCGGCAGCATTTGCTTATCATCAAATTCTTGCTTTACGATGTTATGTTAAGAAATTATTTTTTGAATATCACAGAAACTAAAATACAATATCATTATTACGTTTGGCGACGTCGAGAGTAAAGACCTAAGTGAAACAAGACATAACACTCGTTTATTATGCAGTCGCCAACACTGATCGCTTCTACTTACTGTACCAAATCCGTGCTAATATAAATTTGTAGTTCTCTAATCTAATTTTGATACAGGATGCGATGGATTTATTTAAAGCGACGTTCAGAAATACAAGTGTTACGATGACGCACAAGTCATTGCACGTACGCTAATTACGACCAACTATTATTACGAGTAGAAAGTAAAAGTTGCTAATTCAGTGCATAGAGAACAAAGCACTTTAGTTAAAATAACGGATATTTAAAATATAAGAGATAAAAATGCAAGAATTGTGAGAATAAAATTTTTAATTAACAAAATTTATTAGAAATGTAATTTTAAAATTAAACGCTGAAGATTTACCAAAGACGGTATGTGATTTTGAGGACATGCAATAAATCCACATCTATGTATGTAGGGGAGTAGTGACAATTTCAGCTGGCAACATTTTTCATAGAGACTTATTGTAGGACACTGACTACATAAAACGCCGTCTGATTTTTCTCAAACAGGCATTACTTAAACGTATTCGGTAAAATTGTAAAAATTAAAATTAGGAAATGCTTCACTGCCTTTAATTGTACTGGCTCTTTATACCTACCCTAAAGACCGGAACCGGAAGTGTTCTCACTGAAACGGACTTTTCGACAGAAAAAGAGTCCTACCACCTTTTAAAATAATAACACCAAAAAAAATTAAATAAAATCATAATCAGTTTTTGATATTCAAATATATGTTAATGTGATTGCGTTTCTCACATGTAAATGGGGCTCTACACTCTATTTTGAAGTCAGAATGTGTCAAAAAAGGTACGTATGGCAATTCACAATGCTGTATTAGTCCCTACTTTAACGTATGGTAGTGAAAGTTGGGTGTGGCAGAAAAAGCACGAGAGTAGAATAAATACAGTAGAAATGCGGTCGCTAAGGAGTATGTTAGGGCTGAATCTGAGTGACAGGGTGAGAAAATGTGTGATAAAAGAAGAGTGTGGTTTTCAAGATGATGCGGTAACCAGGATAAAGAAAGGAATGCTTCGGTGGTTTAGTCATGTAGAAAGAATGAATGAGGAAAGCAAATAAATGTTGCAGAAGTGACGTTTACACAATCCAGCACTCGGTCAACTATTATTTATTCTGTGACTCGGTGTATAGACTTGAGTGGCCAGTGTCGACGCTTATCTTTAACCGTCTACATTTTTCGTGGTAGAGCTAAACTGCAGCATGCGCCAAGTCCTACAAAAAAAGCATTACGGAAAGCTAGTCTCGATCGCATTAAACATATTTGTTTCTTTTGGCGCAAAACTCTGCCAGACCGTCCAGCACAAGAGATTTTTGGTCTCTTACCAAAGCGGTCGAGACAAACTTCTGTCGGCCTTCACTGCTTCCGTTGGTAAAACCGGATGGAACACTGGCGCATACGGCTAAGGAGAAATCGGACTTGTTCGCATCTCTATTTGCCTATAATTCTCGTCTGGACAATGGCAACAACATCCCACCTAAATTACACTGCGGTACCAATATGTCAGAGGTTCGTATTACAAATAAGGAGGTTCTCAAAACCTTGCGGTGTCTAGACGTGAATAAAGCTAGTGGACCAGATGGTATACCAGCTATTGTACTAAAGGCGTGTGCACCTGAGTTGTCGGCCCGACCGGGGTAGGACCACTCTTGCATAATACTAGCGTAAAATAGCAGCTTAATGCTACTTTATTTCGTGTGGTGAGTGTAAGAAACCGGTGACCCTTTTTACTGGCAACGATGCACTCCATCTTAGTCATTAGTGGGTGACTATGCATCTGCATTTTGATTCTTAATCAATGCCAACTGAAGGTGTCTGTGTGCCACAGCATCCACTTACCATCAGGTGTTAGACTGTCTGCTCGTTTGTCACCCTTATTATATTTAAAAAAAAAACATGAATTTCTTCTTTTGAAGAGGATTACAGCAGCTATGGGCTCTTATAAACTGACGATGTAAGAAAAAAGCTGTCAGTGGTGTGACTTCTTTTATCTGTGAAGCTGTCAATTGGCTCACGACCACCTCAACACACAGTACCTACACGTCGCCTAATCCGTCTTATAACTAAAAGTAGATTATAATTAGTCTTGGGTTTAAACTAGAATCATACATATGGAAATTTATAGCAAACTTCAAATTTCGCCAATACTGTGGAGGCACAGCTAAAGAACTTCTTTCGTGAAAAAATACTCTTCTTGAAATCCAATACCAAAAAATCATTTTGTAATATGGCGGATTAGGTTTAGGTTCGATTTTAAAGATATGTCTTATCTCTCTCGGTGTGTCTACTATCGCCAGCGGAAGTAACATACTTTTTAGCTCAATTTGGGATAGTGGACTGAATCTTAATCTTCATAATCTTAATCTTAATCTTGCCTAAATCTTGTGTCCATAATTGAATATTGGTTTTATGTGGTATTATGTGGCACTAAAATATACTAAATGAAGTTTCGATCAGTGCGAGAAAATGCTATTATTTGTTCTCTGTCGACAATAATAATTTCTTAATCTCTGTAGGCGCACCTCACGCCGGTTAGTGTATCGAGTGCCTGTGTGCTTGGTTGTTGAAGGAAAAGTTCATACATACTCCCTAACATATGAGAAATCAGAAGACGAAAGAAATACAGAAAGTCGATAGATGTAGTTAAAATTAACAATTTTAATGTAGACGTAACTATAACATTGGGACGTCGAACACCGCTGTTCCTCCTGTGACCATGGGTGCTGTAAAGCTGCAGCACGTTGCAGCACGCTGCAGCTTTATTATAGTTGTAACATGAATGGGTCGCCTCGAACGGTGTGGGACCGCGCTCTCACAGAATACCAGCGTGGAGTAGCAGCTTAATGCTGCTGTGTTTCGTGTGGTGAGTGTGCTGAACGGGAACCCGTTTTGCTGGAATAGAGGTATTCTATCTTGGCCCTCAGGGGTAGTAACGCATCTGCAATTTAGTTATTAATCGGGGGTAAATGTGGATGTCTATGGGCCACAGCATCCGCTTGCCATTGGGTGGGCTGTGCTCGTTTGTCGCCCTTATTCCATTTAAAAAAAAACTTAAATTTTTTTAAAGTGTGTCAGGTTGATATGTAATTGTTTTTCAGAATACGACCGCAGACCCCGGCGGAAGTTGTGGAAGGATGCGGCGTGTGTGCGCGCGCTGGCGGCGAAGCCGGAGATGGCGGAATCGCACTTGGCTCCGAGCGAGCCTTCACATTTGACTACGCCTTCGAACCTTCCGCCACCCAGGAGGCGGTTTACGAAACCTGCGTCAGGAAGCTTGTGGAGGCCGCACTCGACGGATATAACGCTACTGTGCTGGCTTATGGACAGGTTTGTGATATCCGCCAATTATTTTTTGTGTACTACGCTCATATAATCCAAAGTAGTTGTAATGATTCTTATTTACAATACTTCATATGTTTTTGTATGGGCTATAAATAAGACAACCGTTGAAAACTATGTATCCTAGAGTGTGACGTAACGTGGAACTCCACCTGGCTAGATTTAATTCGAGTGGCGTAAAATCGAGGATCCAGCTCCCTAGGGGATGCAAATTTTCAGCTGTGGACTGTCATAGTCCGATGATTATATATTGATATACTAGCTGTTTCCCGCGATTTCGCCCACGTGTTACTTTGGGTTTACATTTTTTTTACCTTCTTTACCAAACTTAATTCTTTTTCTAAAATTAAAATAAGCCTAAGTTACTCGTTATAGCATCAGATATCTGCCGGTGAAGTCCCGTCAAAATTGAAACAGCCGTTTCGGAGATTAGCCGGAAGAGACAGACAAACAGAAAACTTGTGTTTGTGTTATAAGCTTATAAGTACCGTATATACTTTAATATGCATTTAGTAAATAGTTGTTATTTTGACATTACATAGGTACAGATACTTTCATTTTATTAATTTGTATAATTGACATATTTGAATATTTTTAGGTCACAAGCAGTACTTAAAAAGGAAAGACTATAAGAAATTCATATGCAATGAGTTTTAGAGTAACAAATTGTATTCAACATCTTCTGTTTAATTAGCTGATAGTTTAACTTGCTATCATTTACAAAGATAAAATAATGACAGAATAATATTTTTTTTATATTCAATTCGATCTTGTTTGCTGTTTAATGGCAGCTTAATAGTATCCAGCACCCCATTTTGTCCCATGGGTGTCGGAAATCGCGACATGAGAAATACCTGAAAGATTATACTTTTAGAAGCTGGTAAAGAAAAGAATTCGCTCTTTACTATTATGATGAAGTTAGCCAAGTAGACAGTGGGTATAATAATATGCTATTTAACAGTAGGGGCGTCGGCGACGTAATACGATGCGGGCATTTTCTATGACAGACTGTAGACAGGATGCGTCTGCGGTTAGAACGAGACACTTGTTAGGAAATTAGATAAATATCAGGTTCACGACAAAACGCAATGTGGAGACGTAAATGCTGCACCTATATGAATATTTTTTATATTATAGGCGTATCTAGAAAGGTGTATGATGAGGCTACGATCCTTACCTTGCCCTTCTTCGAGAACTATTTGTGTTTTCTCACATATATTGACGCAAGCTTTGGTTCTAACTTTGTATTTTTAGAAATGATCCAATAAACATCGTATATATTTAATAGTATGGGCGTAGCTAGAAAGGTGTGTGGTAAAGGTACGACCCTTCCCTTGCCTTTCTTCGAGAACCTTTTGTGTTTTCACACAAATATTTGCGCAAGCTTGGGTTCTAACTTTGTGTTGTTAGAATAATATAAAATAGAATAATATTTTTATACGTGGTAGAGCCATGCTGCAGTTTTATTAGTAGTTTTATTAGTAGTAGTTAGTTGTAGCACGAATGGGTCGGCTCGACCGGGGAAGGACCACGCTCTCACAGAATACCAGCGTCAAATAGTAGCTTAATGCTGCTGTGTTTCGTATGGTGAGTGTAGAGAACCAGAGATCCTTTTTACTGGAAGCGAGGCATTCCATCTTAATCCTCACGGGTGACAACGTATCTGCATTTTGATTCGTAATCGAGGATAGATGTAGATGTCTATGGGCCACAGCAACCACTTACCATCAGGTGGACTGTGTGCTCGTTTGTCACCCTATCCTATAAAAAAAAGAAATTATCCCATAAACATCGTATATCTTTAATAGTATGGGCGTAGCTAGAAAGGTGTATGATGAAGGTACGACCCTTCCCTTGCCTTTCTTCGAGAACTATTTGTGTTTTCGCACAAATACTGGCGCAAGCTAACTTCTAGCGTTCTAACTATGTGTTGTAAGAAATGACCCAATAAAAATTGTAAAAGTAAAGTGTTGTGAATATGTTTGTATGTGATAAGAGATGACCTACTACTGAATGTTGTTTTTGTTGATGATGTATTGATATTGTAGCGGACTTTGTTTCGTTAAAAGTTCACACAAAGCAAAAGATCAGATCGTAATTGCAATTGAGTTCATTTGTCCAAAGCAAGAGTTCCAATTTGAAGTAAAGGCGCCTGTGTTCGCGTCTTATTCACGACCTTTGACTGGATGCCGCTAACGACGAAACTTGTCATGCATTTGTTACGTTATGATGCCGTTTGCAATAAAGAAAGGTCAATAGCCCTGAGTCACACCTAGCTATCGCTTTAGCATAACACTTAGCGCCAAACGCAACTGATTTTGAAGAGAAAATCGTTTAAAACTTTTAAATTATTATTAATACAATGAAAGGTGAAGTGTTAGCGAAAAAAATTAAGACTAATTAATTTCCTCAACGCAGTCACGTTTATACACTTTTACTTCAGCTCTTGAATCTATGTGTACTAGGGCCGATACGGATGCAAATGTAAAATCTTGCTAGCATCATAAACGGAGCGGAGTAAAAGTCTAAAGTCGTAACTATCTTTATTTCAACAAAAGATTCAATCAAATGGTGTGACATTGCACAGATGGAAATTAGCGAATTGATTAGATAGTAAAAGAAAAAAAAAACAAATTCAGATTTTTGCTTTTTATAAACCTTGTCTGCGTTGAGCTACAAATATTGCCGAAAAAATTATGTAAATTGGCCTACGGGTTACGGAGGAGATATATTTTAAAGAGTTGTTTTCTTGCGCCATGGGAGCTCGCTCGCTTCGCTTTAATATTTTTTTATAGGATAAGGGTAATAACAAGTACCTAATTGTTGTTTGGTGTATCATGGAGGCGTTACATATTATGTATATACAAATTGCACACAGACACACCTGCTTTCCATCCCGATGCCCGATAAATTGTAAATTTTCCACTTCTATAACTATAATCTTTGTTGTTGTTTCAATATGTGGCGCCTATAATTAACTCGCACATCATTTATGGTCAATTAAATAGCGCTATTCAAACAACACAAAACATGGAAATTCACAGCTGTCTCGAGCATCCTATCAATTATATGCTAATCCAGATCCTGGGATTAGTCAGCACGTGATCCTATTATCATAACATTAGCCCCATAATAGTCAAGGTGAATTGTGATTTTTATTGACACAATTGGAAATGTTTCTTAAAAATAAAAAAGGACAAAAGCATTGCATCAGAAAATCCTATTACTACAATTTTCTTGTTAAATTTCTTTTCTTTCATAATTAGAAAAGCCAAGTTATGAACTAAATAGATGACTCCGAAGTTATTTCATACGCCTATTTGTCTGGATATAAGTTTTATATAAATATTGCACTAATTTTTAACGTATAATACGTTTTTAACGTATAAAAATAATATCGTTATCTTGATATATATATCAAGATAACAATATTATTTTTACTTCTTGAGACCAAGTATCTATTGAACAACTGTTGAAAACATGCAGCTGAGTGCACAACGTCGAAAAAAGTAGCTTCCCATACGACTGGGCCACACATGCGGTGGGTTCATTGACGCCTTGCTCTTGACCAACTGACTACAAACATGTGATCCAATTTTTATCGCTCGATATTAAATAGTATCGTGCCTACGTAAATAAATTCCGCTATACAGTGAGTTTATGCCGCTCTAGCTATCTTGCAACTCTTTGGAAAATTGATAAATACATAGCATGCGAATTTATATATAATGTACTATGATCTTATATACTAGTTTATTTTGTGTTGTACAGTAGGAGCCTCCTTTATTAAAATAATTAATTAATGTCCTGCGGACCAGAATTTTGCTCACGGCGGCCAGCCTCAACGGAGGCTAGTCATCAGCGCAGGACAGGATTATAGTGCCCAAGTGTATTCGCAAGCACAGGTGCACTCTCTATTCCCTCACTCTCATAGTCCAATGGGTCGGTAAACCGACACGAACGGATAGAGATCAGGCGCAGCACCAACGGCTTTACGTGCTTTTTGATGTACGGGGGTGAAATATCACCAACCAACGAGAGAGTATTATATAAGTATTGGACAAGTATTAAGGGGAAATATAACCTCAAATGGCTTAGCAAGATCCTCCGTTATGCCGAAAGTATTGCAGCATTAATTTTGAAATAAATATATGGTAATCATTATCATCATCATTACAGCCCTTCACAAGTCCACTGCTGAACATAGGCTTCCCCCAAGTAATGCCACAAAGCACGGTCCTGAGCCACCTGCATCCATCGACTTCCTGCATGTCTTACCAGGTCGTCACTCCATCTAGTGGGGGGTCGCCCTACACTACGCCTACCGGTACGAGGCTGCCACTCGAGAACCTTTCTTCCCCATCGGTTATCGGTTCTTCGAGCTATATGGCCGGCCCATTGCCACTTCAGCTTACTAATCCGTTGGGCTATGTCGATCACTCTGGTTTTACTGCGGATATCCTCATTTCTGAGTCTATCACGCAGAGAAACTCCAAGCATAGCCCTCTCCATAGCTCGCTGAGCGACCTTAAGCGTCCTCATACGGCCAGCAGTGAAGGACCACGTCTCAGATCCGTAAGTCATCACTGGCAACACGCACTGGTTGTACAATCTAGTTTTTAGAGATTGAGGTATACCTGACGAAAAGATATGTCGTAATTTCCCGAACGCTGCCCAGCCGAGTTGAATCCGTCGATTGACCTCTCGGTCGAAGTTGGACTTACCTAGTCGGACTATTTGTCCCAGGTAAACGTACTCGTCAACAACTTCGAGCATAGTGCTCCCAACAACTACCGGCATAGGTGTGACATGGACATTAAACATGATCTTTGTTTTGTCCATGTTCATCTTAAGACCTATCCGTTGGGAGGCACTATTGAGGTCATTGAGCATAATGCTTAAGTCCTCCAGCGATTCTGCCATAATGACTATATCGTCGGCAAATCGAAGGTGAGTGATGTACTCGCCATTGATGTTAATACCGTATC